GATGTCTCTCCCTCTCAAATACACAGCCATTAATTTTCATCTGTCGTTATTTTTCAATCCATGTACCAATTCCACTGCTCAATTATATTTTTATACTTTCAAGAGAATTACTAGAGCTTCGCCATCTTCGAGGAAGTCCTCTAATTAGCAAAATAAAAGGAATACTTTGCTATGGACAAACTGATAAGCAATAAGATCAAAAATTCTATAGTCACAATTGTTTTTACGTATTTGGAGATGAGGTTTTGCATTAAAATTATTGAGGATTCTGTAATTAATGACGCCTGCACTGCTTTCAAGTATGCTCTTAAAGATTTTACTTTGGCCAGAGAGGGCCTATAAAAATTATTCAGTCTCCTTCATCTAAATTACAGAGTAATTTAGCACTTACTACAGATAACGATGGAAGAATAAAGACTAGAAGAAAGATGGCCAGAGATTTCTCTATTGAAGTGCTTATTCACTGGCTCTTTTCTGTGAGTATTAGCCAATAACTATATCTCCAAGGTGATAATGCACATAGGGACATATCAGTGGTTGGTGGTTTCTGTTCATCTTAGGAGCTGCTACTAATAAATATATATGCAAATACATGAAAGATGCCAATATACATTTCTCTACATCTATACACATCTCTTGCCTTTCAGTCAAGAAAAGGCGCTCCTGAAAAGATCTCTCTTTCTTCAGCAGTCCCCTGCTATTAGGGCCTTTTCAGTTTACAAGGTGACTGAGAGTTGGATGTGGGCTGACTGCTAGGACAGTAAGCTTGTGGGGCTGCTCCTCCTTTAGCATGCCAGTACTGTTGAACCCCCTGCTGCATTTTCCTTGTAGTAAATGATGTGCCTGAGTGTCCAGAAGATGCTACAATGAGCCTCATCCATTACAACAGCAACTAATTTATGGAGTACAATCTTCTAGCTGAGGAAGTGGAATTATGTCGTTCAAGGGCCAAATATGTTTAATTTTTGAAAGGCTACTTTCTCGAATCTCTGGCTGAGCTTGCTATGAAACTTTTATTCTCTCTTCCTTTCTCACACACAGGACACCATCACATGATCAAAATAATTGATTTTTCAGGGCTTCAGTGTCCTTGGCATAAGGTCACTGGATATTAATGGTATTTTTATGATAAGCTTTACATAAAGACTACTATACTACTTGGTTTTTATAAGATAGCTACACTCTGATTCCAACTCTGCTCTGAAATCTTAACTTACCTATAGCTTTGCTTCCTTCAAGAACTAGTCTTGTTTTTTTCTTTGCAAAAGAATTTACATATCCTAGGAAGCAGGTGAAAAGTTATAGCAGTTAAGAGAACCCTTCAATATAAGGGAAGGTTAAAACAAAATATCCATTATTTCACACTTGACATCTGCTGGTTTCATGGGACAGTTCTGCAATATAAAAGAGGCTTGACATTATCTTCTTCCAGGATGTACACACACACACACAATCTTCCAATTTAATATACAGCTCTGGCATTTCCCATCCAAGTACTAACCAAATCCAGACTTGCTTAGTACTTTGAAATCAAAGTTGGCTAGCTACTGCCACCTAGCATGATTCATGAGGAAAAGACTTATCTGCTGAATAATCTCTGCAAAAAGGTACCGTAGTTAAATCCAGCAGACTCGACAATCTAAGTAATCCTCCGAGAGAGAGAGAGAGAGAGAGAGAGAGAGAGAGAGAGAGAGAGAGAGAGAGAGAGAGAGAGAGAGAGAGAGAGAGAGAGAGAGAGAGAGAGAGAGAGAGAGAACCTCTTTAAGTACTACGGTAATTGGAAATTAGCACACACTAATTTCTATACTACAGTATACTAGTCTTGAAACCCTATCATACAATAGAGAGCTGTACTATGCTTCAGTTTTAGGAGTATTCCAGATTAAAAGTAGTGACCTAGTACTTTAATCCCTAATTAAAACAGATCTGATTATTAAACAGGAGTTCATTCTGTTGCAGTGACCAAAGTATCTAGCCTCTTTGCCATGTGTATAGTAGGAACCTTAATAAGGTTTTGCAGGATGCCAAAGACTACATAGCATGCTAGTACTATAAAATACATGATATATACAAATTTTGAACTATATATTGAATGTACATATACTGCTATCTGCAGTGTCCTAGATAAACAGAGTGCAGCACCCTCTTGAAGTTTTAAAGCAGCCTCGTTCTCTAGAAAGCTTGCATGCTTCAAAGGCAACTCAACTGCTTTAATGCTTTAAAGGCAGGTTCATTGCACTGTCAAACACTTCTTCCAAATGTAGAGTCCTAATAAACAAGAGCAACAGTGACTCTCCAGAAATTGAATTATGAATTTACATAAATGCCAAGTAACATAGCATACTGTACATAAGCAGTTGCTGAACTCATTTATAGGATTTTAAAAGCATTTTAGTACTCCTTTTTATATATGATTGCTCACTATCACTAAATCCAAATAATTCAATATAATCCAAAATTACAATTAATGATGGAAGTATAAATTCAAGATATAAGCAGGTAAAGTAACAACAAAAGTAACTACTTGATTACATGTCGTAACTGTAAAATTATAAGTCTTCTGTCAGAAGAATGTAGAATTGCAAAAGGATAAATTATTGAATTAATTACCATTTTTCTCCATGTATGCTATTTTCAAATATTTAGGCTTTTTAAGGAAAAGTATGACAGAAAAAAGGAACATTACCTACAGGTGAAATAGTTGTCAGCAAGCTCCTTCTTTTATAATGCTTAGAATAAGTTGAAGTGCTTTACGTTTGAAATACTCCATATCCTTTCCAAAATAACACATCTGCAGTCAATGGGTAATTCAGCATACTTCAAGCTTGAAACAGCTCTGTTCAGAATGCAGAATTCTTTGCACTTAAAAACATTTACAAATGCTTAGAAGTTTTGCACTCCAAAAAACTGTTGTGTTCGAGAAAGATAAAGTTTGAAACACTTAATTCTTAATTGTTTGTGTATTGTGTGGATCAGTTTTTATCAATTCTGTAGATTTACAGAGACAGCAATTAATCTACTCTTAAAGAGTGCTTTCATATAAGCTTTTTTTTTTTTTTTGCAACCAGCATTGGGGGGGGATGGAAAATAGAAACAAACCGGCAACACAGTTCAGTTCCGGTGCTTCCCTTTCTGCCCCCCCCCCCTAAATCTTAAAAGGATGCCTTGTAGCAAGCTTCGTAGCTGTTACTACAACTGTAGCTCCAGATTTTCACACACAGCATGGTGAAGCGCCATCTTTTTGTAGAGCTGTCTATCCATCTCCCAAAACTACTTGCCACACATTTCCTGGTAGCAGTACCACCTTATCCATCCCACCCCATTGCAGCTTTTTAATTTCATAGATCAGCTATTTAAGCACAGATATATAGGTTCCTCCATTACATAGCATAAAGCTGTCCTAGGTTGATATGCCCATAATCTTCAATAAATTCAAATTCTGACTTTTTTTCCCTTGCAATTCAAAGAAAATGTCAATTCTTATATTAAACATATATGTACTTAATAACTACCAGTATTATATTTTTCACATGACTGCTATAGAAGGGACATTGTCCGTTTCAACCATTCCTGTGGAAATAGGTATTATAGGATTGTGATGCAACTGTGGTATTATAACACCATAGTATGTTATTTTGATTAGCACAATTTTTTTGGCATTAGGGGGTCTGTTATGATAGAATAAAGAATGAAGATAGGCATCTAAAAGAAATGTAGAAAATTTCAGCAATAGGTGGAATAAATAAACTTCAGAGCATTTGCTGGGAATTTACCTCTAGAAGTCACACTGTATAATATATAAGGAATATGGCAAAAATATGAAGATAGATGTGTGACAAAAGCAGTATAGATAATTAGCATGGTGTGAAACTTTATTTCAGAAAAACAGTATGGATCCAGGCATTCAACCTACCTAACCAAACAACCTAATAGAAGCAGATTCTCTTTATATCATGGTATAAGAAATGTTACTCACACAAGAAAATAAAAGTGTTGTTAGTTCTGTTGATTAAACCAGAACAATTCTGTTGCAAATGTCTGGAAATCTGTTTCATATGAATGAATACTAGTCCAAGAATGTAGTAGAGAAAATAAATTTAACAAAATGGAGGTGGCATCTTTTTTCCTCCTGTCTTTTGGAAATGATATCAAACTCAGCTCCTCTCTTTATCTAGTCTTATCAGACCCAAATGGACCTTCCCTGTCCCCACAGAAAGCTCCTTGCAATCCCATCTAAACCACAGAAACTTCCTCACTAGCTCACAGTATAGCCAAAGGGAGCTCTAGTAAGAGAATAGCGGCATGGTAACAAGATGAGAATCCATCAGCCTGATTATCTCAACATTGTACTTCCTCAATAGATGAGTTAAACTTCCCCAGCTCTGCTGCTATTTGTGAAAGGGCCACTCTACCTAACAATATAAATAACCCAGGTACAAAGACAAGCACCTTCCCCAAACTGGGCAGCAAATCAGATCCATAGGATTTCTTCCTCGCAGCCTGTATAAATCTTTGCCTTCCCATTGTTCAGTATCCATCTTTCTTGTAAAGCAGGCACCTGTTATTGCAACTGTTGCAATAAACAGTGGTTCTTCTCCTGAGTGTTGTGCTCTGTACTTCTTTTCCATGATGGAAAATTCAAATCATAATCACCGCTTACAATCTTCATCTTTTTTTAAATAACAAAAGCTGTAAAGAAATTCATGGTACAAGGGCTCATTTTATAAAAACAATTAAGACAGTGAATCTACTCTCCAAAATTGGGGTATAGATGAAATAATCTGTGTAGGTCTTCGGTCATTCAGGTTTTCTCCCGCATCAAATTGGAAGTGTTTTGGCGACGTTTCGACGAAGTCTCATTCGTCATCTTCAGGGTGAAGATGACGAGTGAGACTTCGTCAAAACATCGCCAAAACACTTCCAATTTGACACGGGAAAAAACCCGAATGACCAAAGACCTACATACAAACACCCGCGAAAACCTCAGAAAAGAAATAATCTGTATATATACTTTTTTTTATTAATCAGAGCATCCTCACTGATTTCACAAAGGCAGTGGGAAACACAAGGATGGAACACATTTCATGACAATTTTGTACTTTTAACAAAAATATTGGCAGAAAGGGTTTATATACAGATGGTTTTCAAAAAGTAAACTCTTTAGTATATTTTATACACTGGAAAATAAGAAAACATTTGAAAAGTAAGAGCCTGGAGCATGAAGTGGTCAAAAATTCTGTTCCAAGTTTAAAAAAAAAAATGTGAAAAAAAACCAACATCGTAGTTCAGACATGTTCTATTTTCTATCCATCCATAGAATTTATAAAAGCCTTACATGAAATATCAAAAATAGATGAATATCACTATATCATGAATGCTTATATTTACATTGCAACTAAACTCCTTGTCAACTGTTTTATTTACAAATCTCTATTTTTTTCCTTAGTGAAAGTCATTTAAAATTTTAAAAACCATATAAAAGTCAGTTAGAAACCATACAGTCCAAAAATTCATACTAGTTTAGAACCATTCAGAATGTGTGAAAATAAATGTATGAAAATGCATATTTTAATACAAGCACTCTCACAAAAACTGAAACTTAGGGTGTGGATCCTTCCCTTTTATCAATGCTGTAGAGGCAAAAATAAATCAATCCTTAGAAAATAATTCAAGAAATCTTTTAATATATTTTGCTAATTAGTATTGAAACTAGTTGCTATGCTTGTTGAGTCTGAAAGATTATCTAGTAGTTAGCGAAGTGTATATATTTTTAACTAAAAATACAAACTCTCTTTGGAATATCTGACTGGCAGATGGTAAAAGTGGATTGTAAGATGCTATAAGACTCCAAAATATAGTGTCTTTTAACATTGAGAAGTCCAAAGAATGGCTGGGGGCATGGGCGAACTGGAAGACAAAAAGAAGCAGAAAACAGGCATAGAAACTAGATACAGGGATTTCAGTAAGCAGTTAACACTTGTCAACAGAATGTTAAATGGAAACAAAGCAAGAATGAAAAGGAACCCATACACAATCACGTGAATTAAAAAATATCATAGTTTTATGTACATTTACACATAAACCTACAAGTTTAACTGCATTTACATATATGTAAGTGTGTATAAGACTGCAGCTGAATATTTGCTATGAAAGCTGAGCACAGGAAAAAAATTGGGGATAAACTTATCAGTTATAAATAAGAAAAAACTGTTTTTCAAAAGGCTTTAATGTACTTGAAATACATTAAAGTACCTGAAGTATTTGAACTTTCAATTTAAAATTTATTGGTTTCATGCAATGCTGTATCAAATTAATTTCCATAACTAAACTTTAAGATCTATATGTTTGCAGCAACCAAAAAATCAACCTTTAGGGGTTAAAAATGCAAATACTAATATATTTCAAATACAGAAACCAAAGATTAAGCACATCAACAGTAAAGAAAAAACTGAAAGAGCAACAGACAAGTGGATGCTATTGACTGGATAATGGGGAGTAAACAAGGAAACTGAATTTGTAGAAGAAGCAACGATCAGTGAAGTCTGATTCATATTAAGTCACTAATATTTGGTTCATGTTGCATTACAGGTAATCCTCAACTTACAACAATTCATTCAGTGACCACTGAAAGTTATTACAGCACTGAACAAAAGGAGATAAGATCTGTACTGAAATTATGGTTTTTACATAATCAAAATTTAGGTTCACTTGCACTCAACTGCAGGGGCACTTTAACTGTCCCTATCTCCCCCCATCTATGCCCTTCTTACTGCAAAGGCAGTGAAATTTGCAAGGTAGGGGGAATGCCTGCCTGGTCAGCTGCTGTAGGTATGGTAATCAGAAAATATCCATATACCAAAAAGCAACGCATTGTAGCCATCTATTATTTTATTGGTGAAGAATGCCTTTGTATATCAAGCACAGTCAGAAATTATGCCTGAAGTGATATTAACATGTTAGCTTTCCGTCCCACCTTTTAAAAAAATATAGTAGTATGCTTGGTGGGCATCAAGGTATATCTTGCACCTGAACCATGCTGAGGACCTAGAAAATAGGTTACTCCATCATTGTGTGTCAGACGGTAAAAAAACCCCTCAACAATAAATATTTTATTAACTTTTCTTGACATTTATCCAAAATATAAAGATAAAGCTGTTCAATAGTTTAAGGTCTTCATCTTTTCTAAGATACTATTAGTTCAAAATGCTTTAGGAATCACATGCCTTCCCAAGCTTCAAGAAAGAAGGAATAACCTAAGCTTTTTCTGAGCAAAATGTGTTTGGGAATATGCATGGCTAATTATTCTAAACTGATTGGTAAATCTGCTGCTAATGCACCTAAGAAGCAATGCAAGAATTTAAAAGTTCTAAGAGAAAAATATTTCAAGTTACATAGCTAAATCTATGTGCTACATATACATTAGCCTGAATGCATCTAGATAGTCTATCTTAAGAAAAAGGAAAAAATGAATATAAAATGGAAAAATATTAAACTGCTTAGACTAAAAAGCTTAGGGGAAAGTATCATCTGTAGAAAATCACAACAGATGAAATATTTTTTTAAAACTTCCCACTATAAAAATAAATTGGGATACATAAAAATTAACAAATAATTTCAAGAAAAAATAAATACTGTCCATTACCCAAAATGTTACACAACTAGTGGGTTTCAAGTGAACGTTTTTATCTCTCAGCAAATTCAAAGAAAAAACACACACATTAAATTCACAATTTAATGGAAAAATAGAAACTAGGTGTTGTTAAATGACAATACAGGTCACACTCAGAATTAAGATTATATGACAGGAGTTCTTGGCCACTGCCAAATAGGATGCAATGATGTTTGGTCCACTTCTTCCAAGAAAGTTATGCTCCCAAAAATGCAGCAGGCACACTTAGTTTCTCTTTGTGAGACTAGAATGTAGTTTATCAATCATTTCCTTCACAACTCAGTTTTACCCCATTAATTACTGCTCTGTCGCTGGACTTTTGGACCAATACTTTGAATTCCTTCTTCTGGATTTGGCCGCTTCCCAGTACACCCTCCAATGCTAAGTGATGTTCTTCCTAGAAATTGAAGACAAACATGTACTTTAATGTTGTCTTTGACTTTTACTTAACTCAAAATCATAAAATGCACAGAAATCATACCTTGTTGCATTAAGTGTGTTTTTTTACTGTCCCCATGAGCATAATGTAAAATTCCACTGTTCCCTTGACAGTAACCTATTAAAAAAAAGTGCATTACTTTCTGAACAAAGTATTTAGAAAGCAACATTAACTCTTGTGTTAGTTTTAATAAGTATTAATAAGTAATATTTAGTATTACTAATTTTTCTGTCAGTTTGAAATATTGTACTGAATTTATTAGCTCACATTTTCTGTCACAAATACCATTCTCAAATTATATCATCTTTGAATGTGAAATCTAGCCTTACCCCTAATCACAAGTACAAAATAACCCAAAAAGTATCTGAGAGTGCACCCCTAAGATAGTCACTACAATTTCCTGTTTTGGCTTCCTTGCTTAATAATGCCCCATTCTGTATCTTTATTTAAGATTGTTGGAAAGTAAAGGTTCCCACTTTGTATTCTTAAGCTTAGTTTTTACTATCTAAATCCTAGATATAAAAATCACAGTGTCCTAAGCATACTATCTCTGCATCTTAAACCAAGTATTTCTTTGAATGATTCAGTTATCTGGGTAAGCATTACTCTTGGTTACCATAAAACAATGAAGAGCTGTTATTAGAGGTCTTCATAGCAAAGAATATTGTCATGCCTATCTCACTTCCTTTGATATCAGTTGGACTTTACTATTTTAGGTATAATTAGCTGCTTAGTCTATACTAGTAATATAATGGTTTCCCCAGAGCTATTCCTATTTTTATTCACTATCCTTAAACATGCTTATGCAGAAACTACATAGCTGAAATCAGTATATTTTGATTTGACAAATGGATTTGAGCATCACACTTTATTATTTAAGGGTGAAGGAATAGTGAATGTAGTTTTGAGTTATCTCACCTTGCTGGTGAATTCCACTTGTTCCTGTATGAGTTTCTCCAAGGGTACATGCTTGAACATTCCCTGTATGTCCTTCGCTGGTTCCCATTTGAGTGCCTGAAAGAAAGCAAATCTATATTGTTTTCCAAAATAAGAATCACATAAAAGGGATGTATTTAATATCATGCACAATTTATATTTGTATAATATAAATAAATCTAAATGCAAATTTCACATGTGGAAAAAGTAAGTATACCCTTACATTTATCACTACCTCAAAAAGCTAAAATTAAAAACAGGTGTACCAGATCAGATGCAAATGTTTACCATGTTGTTAGAGAGGATCTGGGAGGTACCCATGTTATCACATAGTTAGCTGGCTGGTGGCATCACAATGCCTGGACTGGAAAAGTTCCCTGAGGCCTGCATAAAGATTATTTAAGATGCCTATGAATTTGGGAAGGGATTTTAAAAGATTGCCAATCATTTGGACATCAATCCACTGACCAGAATATTATCTACAAGTGAAGAAGATTTCAAACAACTGCCAGCATGTCTGGCCCAACCCAGCAAGTTCAGCTCTCTGTTTTCCACCCATCCATCTTTTTGTTATCACATTGATGTATTCTTATTGTGTTCTTTTTCATTTTATTTTATTGTTCTATTATTTTATTTCTGTTTACACTCTTTTTATTTCTTCCTTTTTATTGTTGTAAGCCATTTAGAGCAGTCCCATGGCAAGAACAGATGGCAAATACATTGAATGAATGAATTAATGAATGAATATGACAATGTCCCTAAACATTCCAGTAAATTCACCAAGGAAAAAAAGGTGGGTTTTAGAATAGCCAGATCAGAGCCTGAATCTAAATCCTATCAAGATGCTATAGGGTAATCTGAAATGGGCTGTCCATGCATTAAACCCTTCCAACAATGCACAGCTGAAAAAATTCTGTATGGATAAATGCAAAAAAAAAAAAAAATCAGGCAAAACAGAGACCAGTAAACAGTTACAACAAGGCCTACTTGACATTTCTGCCAAAGGGGAAAATATCAGATATTAGAACCAAGGATGAGACTAGTTTTTCTACAGAAGGAAATGGCATATCAGTTAATTTGATGTTAAATACATGATTGCAAAGTCAACTTTTTATAAATGTTTTTGTTCAATTACATTACCTTTATATAGTGTTTGAATGAGAATACCGATATGTTCTCATAGGTTAGAAAATAAAAAACATAGCTGTAAAAAATTCAGTCATTTTGGGATATTGAGTAGAGAAATACTGAGGAAAGGAGACGGGAGTGGAGTGGAAAGGAAAAGGGGAGGAGCTATCTAGAGCACATGACAGGTAGCATTCCAATAAATATTATATCCTTGTGGTAGTTATTACATGGATGGACAAGACTCTTTTTTGCAGCTATTTTGTAAAATTCCAAAGGGCCTACAAGCCAAAATAATAGGGGAACCCTGTATCATTAATGTGATAGATATATACAGTAAAATGTAAACTTTTTTCCAGCTGAGAAAGATTATTAGTTATAATCGACAATATGCATTTTGTAAGATGCAGAATGAAATACAGTAGTCCTCAACTTGCAACAGTTCATTTAGTGACTGTTCAAAGTTGCTAACAGCATTGGAGAAAGTGACATATGACTGGTTTTCACTTACGACCATTGCAGCATCCCCACTGCCACATGATCAAAATGCAGATGTTTCACAACTGATTCACATTTATGATGGTTGCATTGTCCTGGGATCATGTGATCACCTTTTGCAAACTTCTGGCAACAGAGTCAATGGGGAAGCCAGATTTACTTAACAACTGTGTCCCTAACTTAATAACTATAGTGATTCACTTAACAACTATGCAAGAAAGTCATAAAATTGGGGCAAAACTCACTTAACAGATGTCTCAGCAACAGAAATTTTGGGCTCAATTGTGGTTGTAAGTCGAGGGCTACCTGTATACATCTTCACTTTTTTTTTCTTTTTTAAGGATTCATGCTTATATATGCATTACATATTACTTTAGAGATTTATATGTTATATAATATATTCTGGAGGAAGAAACAGGTAGAAAGAATAGCCGAAGTTATCAGAGAAGTTGGGGAATTGTGCCTGAAGCACACCAACTAAATGTTTTGCTAGTTCAATTCAATCTGGTGCCTAAATGTGTACCCAAAGAACAGACCAGCTAGGATTAATATCTGTGTACTAGTTTCCTATAATTAAAGGCCTGGCAACAATGGACATTGTGTCAAGAAAAAAAAGAGGCAATATCATTCTGAATCCCTCACATTCTTTGGTAATTTATCAAGCTAAAGAAATGTGTTGAAACTGCTCTACAATAACTATTCCTCAGCATTTTAATCCAGTACACCTGTGTGTAGATATTCTAATTTGATTAATTTAATGTGCTTAATTATAAATCTTTCCATAATTGAAGTATTATATAATATTAAAACTTCCGAAAATTTGGCTTATTATTATGTTGGTAGGCAGCCAAATAGATTGTTATTTATGCTTCTTAGTTTTTCTAACATAGGAGTAACTTACCATTTGTACCAACACAACCAGGGAGATTTTCACTTGGAGAATATCCCATTAGGCCTCCATTTCCGTTTCCATTTCCATTTCCATTAGAAGGCACTGAAGCAAGGAGGCCTAATCAAAATAAAATGCAGTGGCCTCAAAAGGAAGTACAGGCTCTTGAGGGCTTCTCTGTGTTTTTGGCCCTCTTTTCAAATGCATATCTTTGTATTTCAGCCAAAAAAGGAGTAGATTTTCTCAATAAGAATTAGAGCATTATTTTTAAAGAATCAATCCCATGCAAATACAGACATTATTTTTAATTCAATATCAATAAAATTGGAACTGTCACTCAGAACAATGAAGACAACAATCCTCCAAATAGTAATTAAAAATGTTAATAATAAACTGATCCTTAACATGAAAATACAGAAAATTCTCCCTAAATAACATTTAACTGTGTTTCTAAAATTAAAGGCCACTGCTTTTTTTCTTTTTTGCAATGTTCTGATCCTGAAAGGACCAGAGCTTATGTGATCTTAATATATTAGCCCTTCATTAATGTTAAAAGTTACAACTTTAAAAAAGGTGAAATTAGAGAAAAGTGCAAAAGAAATAACTTCTCATTCTTCAGTCAGCCAATTATAAATATTATACCAGGATTTCAGCAGTTAAGACTTTCAGGCCAAAAATCATGAAAATAAAAAGTAAATTCAAAGCTTTCCATCATACCCAATCCTCTGTATCGGGATAACTGTTGGTAGATTTGTTTCATCCTTTCAATATTCAATCGACTCGCTTCAGCATGATTTACCATTGGTTTTGGATAATTTACTCCTATTATACATTTTGCAGCTTTCTGGACTCCCTCAGGGGCATTCCAAGGATCATATATATACTTTGCAGGAAAACCTCTGAGTATAGGTAGATACCGTCTTAATTAAAAGAAAATAAATTTTATATCATTTTTATGATTTATCATAATAACCCAATGTAATGTTGCATTTTAAACTGATAATGGTTCTTTACCTGATATAGTCTCCGTTAGGATCAGTTCTCCTGCCAAAGCCCACAGGACAGTAACAATGGAAAAATTGCTGGAAAAATGAGCTGCAAGACAGCCACATCCAACTGCCTGCATTCACGCTCCAGTCTGCATCAAGAAGCAATTCTTCAAATACCTATAAAAAAAACAACAATCCCAAACCACTGAATTAATGTAACTCTTGTATTTATTTTTTTCCCCTCTGGGAATACAGTTTCAAGTAGCAATTTGTTGGCATGCTGGTTTTTAAAATGTCCATGTCTAATCATATGAGAAGAAAGCTGAGGAGAAATACATACTCTATACAGTCCACTTTTGAAATGTGCTAAGTCAGCAGACAACTCATTTATCTGCAGAAAAGACTCAAGGTAGCTTACATATTTATAAAAACAGATAATGCAAATACACTGCTGGAAACATAATATTTAAAACCACTAGCATAAGCAATCAGTCACAATACTACAGGACAATCTAATCCTCAAGATCAGCCTGTTTGTATTCTATTGAACACCTATCATACATGTTTTAATGTGTTAAAGAAAGTTGAGTGTGGGACAGATTAGAGAAAACAAGGAAATATTCTGAATGCACATTATAATGCATAAAGTATTGACTCAACACTAGGTGTTGCTACTTAGCTAAATTATTTTATATTACATAACATTTACTGCTGTTGACAACAGTTATATGCATTTACCCCACTAATTCTGCATTAACTACACTTGCAGCAAACTCCAAAACTTTTATTGCCTCACAACTCAGTCTAAGAGTCTTGGTTACAGAACTGCAAATAAAGGATGGTAAGCTTTTTCCCTTTTTGATTAAAGAAGCAAATATGTCAAGACTTTAATAATAAAAGGATTTACATACCTCATGTTCTGCAGAAGAATCAACCACAAACTATGTAATACAACTTTTCTTAACATTATTTAGAAACAAACTTGAATATCAAATCTTAAGGATAATACCAAAATGTGTTAATTAAAAGATTATTGTACCTTCACTCCTTCCTCCCAGCTAATCCACAGATCACCTCGAGTTAAGAAGCATGCTACAGCATGTCTGGCAAGATGATGGATCCAGCCTTCCTGACGCAGCTGGGTCATAATGGCATCAATCCAAGGGAATCCTGTCCGACCCTCTGCCCACTTGGCCAAAGCCTCAGGATTTTTGTCCCATGGAATCTGCACACATATGGGATTGCCTTCCATTTTATCAAATCGTGGATTATTAGTTGCTGCTGTGTAAAAGAATTCACGCCACAACAATTGGCCATAGAGGGAAAGAGGGGGAGAGCTGTTCTTCTTCACCTGTAAATCATAAGATGTGATTAAAAACTCACTTTTTAATACATGTCTTAAATACCTACTGATAAATATAGTCAATTCATACCTTTTTGTACAAATCTGTTAATTTGAAGTAAAATAGACGGCAAGATAAACAGCCAAAACGTAGATAAGGACTAAGTCCTGTTGGACTTGCAAGAAGGGAATTTGCATTCATTCGAGGGCGTTCAAAGTTTGCTACCCAAGCCTTAAAAAGAAAAAAAGAAAGAAAGGGGTATTTATATTTATTATTTGTTGATATGTGTTTCTTAACAGCATTTAAAAAACCAACCTGGCAACAGCTATGTATCAGCATCTCAAAATCTGAGAATTACTTATGCATAACATTTTTAACTCATTTACATACGAAGTCTTACTATTTATGCTATATTGAAGAGGTTTAATAAATTTACATTGCAGCACTTTATTTCTCCAGCATTTGAACACAAGACTAAAAAAACTACTTTACTGAAATAAAATTGTTATAGCAATGTTCATTCTACAGTGTGAAGTAGAGCTTCTGTGTCTTCAAGGGGTCTATGTCCCAAATTTTCTATTTGATACTCTATGCTGATTTAAAAACCCAAGGGCTACAAAGGATAGATAGATGGAATTGCAGGGGCCTATACAGTATAAAATTTTTAACTGTATATTGATAGGTAAAATTACAGCTAATCAAATATTAAAGCATTCAGAATTATTTCTCAATAAAAATTATAGTATTTCAAACTTCACAACAAGCATATAGAAGATAGCACTCTTCAAGTTTGTTTTACTAGCACTCTGGCTCAATTTTTTTCATATCTCTATAAAATAATGAACTACATAGTTCTCGCTTAATGATCATTTGTTCAATGTCTGAAATTATGGCACTGAACAAAAGGAGTTATGACCTATACCCAAAATTATAAACTCTGAAGTACCCCTCTGGTCACATGATAAAAATTTGGGCACTTGGCAGTGTACCTGCCCTTATAACCCCCTACCTGCCTATAACCCCCTGAATTTGGGCCATCCTGAACAGCAGCACTCAGCCACAGTGCTGGCCTGGGTCTGAAGTATAGGCCTGGGGCCTTTAGTAATCTTAGCCAGCGGCCATCACTGCTGCCACTCAGAAATGCTCCTTTGCATTGATTCCTAAGATGTGCAAGCCTTGGAAAACAGCACAATTGCTCCCATCGGCCAGCACTTCCAAGATTCTGTCACATGCCACTTACTTTCAGACAGTTTTTCCTAATGTTGAGAGGCCCACACAGCTTGTCCAATGCAGCTCCTGGTCACACCAAGTGTTTTTTCCTGAAGTCGCCTCGGAGCCTCTATTGTCAGTGATGGTGCTAGGGCTGAAGTCAAGGCCTGGAGCAGTGGCAGCTGGCTGGCAGCTCTACTTCAGGCCTAGGCCTGGCAGTTCTGCTGATGAGCGCCACACTGCAAGGCTGGGCTGGGGTGTCTATGACTTTGTATTGTATTGCAGGACACACATAATCAGCTCACAGCCTCCCCCATCAAGGAACCGTCGTGCTCCGTGACTGCAACTATGAGTGCCAGGATTGTAGTTGTTGAGCAAAGTGGTCATGTGGGCATCTCACTTAACAACCAGAATAATGTATGACTGATATTCTGGTCTCAATTGTGATCATCAGTCAAGATTACCCTTATACTTGGCAAACAACAAAGGTGAATAATGTACCTTTCTTTCCAAATGTCTTTCCAATCTCGTGAGTGCTTCTGTTTCTCCTCCTGGCCAAACGGCAGAAGGCAATCCATCTGTATCAAAACCTATAATACAGAAACCAAAATAAAATATATTAGTCAAATATTATTAGTCAAGCTGCAGTTTATATAAATTATAAAACCTTAGTATGTTAAACTTTTGTTACACATATTATCAAAACACTGAACTGGACCCAATACTTAATTTGCAAGTTTTGATTACTTTGAATAATTTATTCAGGATTTGTTCCTCAGTGCCGTGACACATATACTGAAATCTGTTATATTATAAATCCTTGGTGAGTTATCAACACCCAATTTAGGAGCAAGTCTTCAAAATTTAACAACCAGAAATATGCTCTTTTTTTCCTCAAAATAAAGCAAATATTTTCAATGAACTACACTACATGGTTATTTGGAAACTCTACTCAATTATAAGTTACATAGATATTCTAGAATACTGCCTATGAAGAAGCATGCATTAATAAATTAGACAGAATCAGTTTCTTATAGACAGTTTTAAGCAACATTTTAAATGACAAGATACAGGTAATCCTCAGCTTACAACCATTCATTTAGTGACCATTCAAAGTTACAATGGAACTGTCAAAAGTGAATTATGATCATTTTTCACACTTAGGAATGTTCCAGCATCCTTGTGGTGACATGATCAATATCCAGACACTTGGCAATAGTTGCAATGTCCTAGGATCATGTGATCCCCTTTTGCAACCTTCTGACAAGCAGTCAATTGGGAAGCCAGATTCACTTAACCACATTACTAACAACTGTAGTGATTCACCTAACTGTGGCAAGAAAGGTCATAAAATGGGGCAAATTCACTTAACAACTGTCTTGCTTAGCAACAGAAATTTGGGGCTCAATTGTGGTCGTAAGTTGAGAACTACCTGTACTATCATTCAGATCCTTGTATTAGGCCTTACTATCTTCTATAAGCAAACTAAGCAGAGTCTCCTACTTATGACCACATATTAGAAGACACAATTTTTTAACAATGGTCGAGGAATGAGGATGATATATCTTGGATTACCTAGTTCTTCAAGTGATGGAACACCATATTTCTCATCATGATCGTCAGAAACTGGGGTGGTACATGTTGACATGACTTCTGCAGTGATAGTTTCCACAGGCATCTCCAATGGTTCCATTCTACTTATCAGAGTTTGGAATCTCTTATAAGTAAGAGGTGGCTGGCCTCCATTTAATTCTATAATTCTACATACAAAGAATTCAATGCCAGTTTATACTTCTACAAACATTATAAATTCATTATGCAACTCTACAGTACATTAATTACCTATATTATGTTATGACATTTACTTCATATTGTGAATAGTTAGAAATATAGAAAAGGCTAAAGGGCAGAACTCATATAATAAATCCAATAATCTTAATACAAATAATTAATAAAATGATCAATGATAATTTGGTTATTCAGCAAATGAATGAACAGATCATTAGAAAGGTTACTTAACAATTGGTTACAAAATAATTACTAAAAGAAACAAAATTTCAGACCAGCATTCAAATATTAAAAAAGCAGTTGAGTATAACTTTCTATATTCTCTGTACATAAATACTGTGGTGAATACTATGGTGAATCTATGTCCTGTGAATTACATGTAGCTCATGTCCTTCTCATGACATCGTCAAAATGAAGAGATGCAGTCTATTTCTATTCCATGTTTTTCACACACACACACCCCCAAAAATTAGGGCTTTAAAAAGGTAAATCCAGGTACTAATGGGTTGTTGGCAAATAGGTCCAAGGAAGGAAGGACATACAAGCTGAACCTCTGTCCCAGGAAAATACATTTTTGCTTTAAGATACTGCAAGCATATGCTGCAAGCATATCCAGCTAGATTTATCCAGGACTACATTATCCAGTTAGAATTACCCTAAACAGCAAGATTGTACTGAAAGAAGCTACTGCTGATACCCTAATTTGGTGGCTGTTACGAGGAGGTGTTGCTTTCCTGTTACAGTGCCAGTTCTCTGAAACAGCTTCCCTATTGACTTCAGGCTTGCCAGTCAAGAAATAATTAAAGACAGTTTTTCCATAGAGATTTTCCCTATTGTACAAATATCACCAAATTTTCTGCTTTGGTTTCACATCTCCAACGTTTAAAATATTTTATTTTTAAAGCTATCCTGACCATTTTAATGTTGCGTTTGTCTGAATCCTGTTACCATGGATGATTTATTTCTCTTTATCATGGCTGTTTTATGTTTTTACTGTAAACTGCCATGAGTCAATTTGTTGAAATCAGCAGTATACAAGTTTCATATGTAAATATAAATGTTTCATAGTGCTTAAATTTGATTGGCATCTAAACATCCATTATGCTACTAAATAATTTTAAGAACTGATATATTACAGAAAATATTGTAATAAAAATGTTGACTCAGAATTATTTTATATCCTCTATCAGTATCAGTATGTATTAATACTACATAAAACATTATTTCCCCCTTTTACACTTAAGAAATTGGTAACTTACTTGTCTAAGTCATATAAGGTATGTGATATTCGTACAATGACTTCCAATCCTGCTTCGGTGGCCAATTTCTTAATTGCTGCATCTCTCTCTTTTCCAAATGGTTCAGAGTCATATTCAATAGAAAGTTTTGAAATATTCCATTCCTATAATTTCAAATAATAATGTGATTTTCAAAACTGCAATTGTCCCAGATCAAGGAAAAAGAAGGAATAACAAATACTAAAATAACCGAACGCATAAAAACAAATGGCTGTTTTCAATAGCAAATGCAGAAAAAAAACATTCTCCATATACAAGCCAAGAATTCTGCTGGAGCAGACCTTAGCCTTCCTTTTTCAAATATAACAGAACTGAACCCCATAAAATAAATATTACATTAAAATGTAGAGCAGTGATCCTCAACCTTTCTAATGCCGTGACCCCATAATACAGTTCCCCATGTTGTGGTGACCCCCAAGTGGGTGTGGCCACCAATAAGAGGGAGTAGGACAGCTAAGGAAAAGGGAAAAAAATGGCGGACAGCATGGTTTGGCGACCCCCGTGAAATGGTCATTCGACCCCAAATGGGGTCCCGACCCACAGGTTGAGAACCACTGATGTAGAGTGATTTAATAACCCTTAGAGAGGTTTAGCCTCACTTTCCTAGCATTAAATAGACTTTACCATTCATAATTCAGTATCAATATAGGATGCCCTTGAGATTCCAAACTATATTTTTATTATTTCCCTCTTAAAATGTCCATATTCATAAAACCGGATTGTATGCAATTAAGCATACACATGGTCACATCATTGCAATTTACAGATGGTAAATATTTATATCTAATATATCTAATCACATTATAATATGAAAAAATAAGATAAAAAATTTAAAAGTAAGCAATTTGACTAGGTTTTTATTTTTAATTCCCAATGTTGTAGTGCTAATCTTGGCCAAATTATGCCCAATAAATATTACACAGATTACTTTTTAAGTATAAGTTGAAAACCCAAAATCCTGAAATATTTTTCTATTCACATAATAAACTTTAGTTTGGCAATTATCTCACTGAACATATATTCCAGAATCTTGTGAATACTTTTGCATTTGCTTCAAGTCATCTTCAAATAATCCAAATTTACCTTGAAAAGCCTAGGAAATACATCTGCAGGCTGTCCTCTAATCACAAATAAACGAGAGTTTAATTTTCGTAAGTTGGCATCCAAGTCCTCAAGACATTGAAGGAGAAATCTGTAAGGAAGATGACATGAAGGAAGTATATTTTTTAAAAAAGGTTTGCTGCAAAGGCAAGATTTGTGCAGAAACAATTATAAACAATCATAATCTATTATCTTGGTTCTACAGATTACAGCCATCACACAAAAATATATTGTGGTGTAAGTATATGTATGTAGCTTCCATAGTATATTCAGAAATCCTTAGAGACACTGTCACAGATGATGTAATAATGCTGTGATTATACAAATAGAGGATTACAGCTGATAGTGTGCAAACTTTGATAATGATGTATAGCTATTCCAAGTATTTCAGCTCAATGTACATTACACACAATATAGAATTACAATTCTGTTTCCTCTTAAAAATAAAAAAAATGTTAATTGGAAATTTCTTATTGTATACTGATACTATACCATGCATCTGTATTAGGCTCCAACTATGCATAGAAAGATCCCTTTGTTTTCTCTTCTCTTCTTCATCCTGTCCCTAAAACAATATGCTCCCTATTTGTAGTATGTTGGTGTTTACACTGATTCAACTCATTTTTCAAACATTCTTCAGTTGCACTCATAGAAGTTCCGCTATTTTAAAGTGACTGCCTAGGAAATAGCTATTGTATAAAAATACTGATTCTAAGGGTTACACATAGAAAACACTGGCTGTCATGTAAAAAAAAATTTAAAGAAAAAGGCAACAGCAGTCTCTTAAAATGTTAAATACATGTTAAATACTCCTTGTGTCCTGTGCTGCTGATCTTCTTGAACCACCACCTCTGCCCCATCTCAGCAACAGGTTGTTTACTAGAATTGTACAAAATCAGTAGTATAAAGCACCTTTCTTTAAAACAGTAAAGCAGCTATTCCTTTTTTCCAATTCATGAAGAACTTTGTAAGCTGCTCCTGAGTGTCACATATATGCAGGTGCATGACTGCGTATATGTACACATGGCAAATTCAATTGGAGGGGCTACATAATACACCCCTTTACTGGGGTGATGAAAAAATTTCTGATATGTCAGAAAAATATGGCCCAGTGGCCAGATAAAGTGAACTGACATCTGTGAATAGCTTCCCTTTTGCTATGACTTTACTATTATTTACATGGCTCCGTTCAAGACAATTAAGTAGAATATTAGGTCTTGGAGGCAGCAATGTGATTTGGTGGCATACAAATTTCAGAGACTCTGAAATCCCTACAAGGAATTCCCATCTGATCATGGAGGCATCCTTGGTCAAGCTCCAGGTGAGTTGTGTGATAGAAAAAAAAGTTCTGTTGATTTATCTCCCAGACTAAGTAGTTGGAAGAATAGACTATTTGTCCAGTACCAAGAATACCACCTTAATTTCTCATGAACCAATACTGTAGTATGCATCTGAAAATGAACAAAGGCTGCCACTGCTATTGCTGAAGCGTTGACTTTGAGAATATACTCTGATTATTGGGCATTCATGAATTGCAAGGGATTTAAGCTAGGAATGAAAGTATGCCTGTATAAGAAGATACTGCCAAACTGATCTAAGAAGCTGATTATCTACAATAGGCATCTATAGTAATACATTTGGTAAATTCTGCAGTTGTCTTTAGCCTAAATAGCTCCAATGTTAGTGTAAGGATTAAGAAGAAAAGCTTTACTTTTTTGGAAAACAGCAAAAGGGTGGACTAGAATGTGGATCCTGGAAAATTAAGGGGCTAGATGGGGCTTGAAAAAAATATTACCTGTGAGGTTTATAAAAGAATATATGAGGTCTTTAAAATTAATTGTTAAGAAATCCATTCCCTTCCCCCCTCCCCAAAGTTTTCATGGAAAATGAATAGATGATAAGAAGGAAATTAAAGAAGAGAACAAAAGTTTATTCTTAAAGGATAAAAAAAGCAACACTATTTGGATATAAAAGATATTAAATCTGTTTGGGAACAATATACTCAGAAGTTACTTACAATAAGTTACTTACAAGATAGATACTATGGCAAAGGATATAGAAGAACAACAGATTTCATTGCATAAAACAGAGACTGAAACTGATTTGAATGTGGATTTGGAGATTTAAAAAATGCTGGATTACAAAAGTGAAATGGAAAAAGATGCTATTGTTTTGAAAATGGATTTAAAAATGCCAGACTATAAGAGTGATATGGTAAATGATGCCAAAATGGATTTATAAATGAAACCAACTGAAGTCTTAATAATGAAAGAGGACATACAAATAATAAATCAGAAGAGTGACTTGGAAAGCCTTCTTATCTTGAATTTACAAAAGGAATGCATGAAATCAAGGAAACTCTTTCTAGGAAGAGACAAAAGAGGAATTACAGTACTCAAGCCATTTCTGAAAGGAGACAAAGAGAAAGAAAATGATAAGAAATCAACTTGTGGGACACTACTTGATGTTGATGGGATTAAAGCTCAAACTTTTAAAAATTAAAAAGATTTATAAAGTGAATCTGATCAAGTTAAAATATGTATTTTGTAGTTTCTGGTAGCTGTTAAAAGGATTTCCTTTTTACTAGAACTGAATGAGGAGACTTTAAAGATCTGTTATAAGTGGGGAGATTTTCTTTTCTTTTTTTAGAGTGATGGATAAGTTTGGATTATAAAATTGAAGTTTTTAATTAAGATTAAAATATGTTAATAATTTTGGTAGCTCTTAATAAACTTTTGCTAATCAGAACTAAATGATGTCTGTTTGCCATTTCATTATTGATAAGGGGTGAGATGGCAAGAAGAGAGTTTTTTAACTGAAATAGAGAAGGTATACTGGTTATTTTTTACATACATGTAGTCCTCAACTTACTACAATTGAGCCCCAAATTTCTGTTGCTAAGCAAGACAGTTGTTAAGTGAGTTTTGTCCCATTTCATGACCTTTCTTGCCACAGTTATTAAGTGAATCACTGCAGTTAAGTCTGTAACACAGTTGTTAAGTGAATCTGGCTTCCCCATTGACTGTCCATGTCAGAAGGTTTCAAAAGATGATCAAATGACCCCGGGACACAGCAAAGGTCATAAATATGAGCCAGTTGTCCAAGCATCTGAATTTTAATCACATGACCATGGGGATGCTGCAATAGTCATAAGTGCAAAAAATGGTCATAAGTCATTTTTTTCAGTAATTTCAAATGGTCACTAAATGAATGGTTGTAAATTGAGGACTGCCTGCATCTTTTTCTTTTTTCTTTTTTTCTATTAATTTTCCTTTTCCTTTTATATGTTTTTAAGTTTGTACTTCTTTTAACTTTGTATTTGTAAAATTTAACAAAATTATTCTAAACAAATAGAATCTGTGTGGCAATACCTTCACTATGATGATAGGAAGCAAAACAGCTCTATATAAGATAATAAACAACTGGCCCTAATTATCTCTCTGCCTGAGCTAAGGTGCAATTCAAAAGTTCAGAGGATAGTAAATCTTTTTTCAGTAAACTTTTTTCAGAAAACTACAATATGTCCAACATAAACTGTTGGACACAAAATTTATCTTAACAGCACAAAAGATCTGGAAAATATTGAATGATGCTAATAAGATATTAATCAAAATAAAAGAAATCTCTATGTATTGGAATATAAGATTCTGCTCTAATAACTCACTTTACTCCTAACATAATTTTTATTTTAAGCACTATAAAAAGGTTAATATCCAAACTTGGTTTTCTCTTTATTATTTCAAGATGTTAATAACATCAATCATTTGAAAATATGATGGCCAAAATAGGGAAAAGAGAACATCTACTGTAATAAGATAAATATATATCATTTCATCCCTCAAGTCCCTTAAACTTTCTAGAAAAAGACAGCCAGTTTAATAAATCTTTGCTATTATTACCTTTGGTGTGTCTCTCTTATCCAGTTTTGTTACATGATTTCTAAAAGCTTATTTCAATATGAATCAACAGGAAAGTTTTTTAAATAGGCCATTGCTCTAGCAACCAGCAGGCTGTTTGGACTGCTCCCGTCACAATGACCTACTTTAGAGATCATGCTACAACACACTTTCATAACTTGAATTTCAAGTTCATCACCACAGTGTTTTGAAGAGATCAGGCTGCACTTCTAAACAAAATCAGACATTTGTTAAAAAGGAAATAAAAACTTACTAAACTAGTCTACAGTATTTCATACAACTGCATCTATAAAGCTTAACCAATTTAAGTGCCAAATAATACAGTAAAATGAATTATTGTACTATTGATAGAATGTATTATGAAGCTTTTCCATTCATTATTCCTCCATTCTCACTAACATATAATCAAAATCAACATAGTTCTAATATCTGCAAAGACATAAGATGTCTATGATGCCTATGAAGATACATACTAATGATGGCTAAACCTGGTTAACATCATAACATCCACTCAGGCATCCCTTTAAAAACAAAACCTTCTCAAAGCCCTCAGGACATTTGGGCTTTTGAAAGCCTATCTGGGCTAGAAAAGGTCATGGATCCCTAAATAACTCTTCTCTCACACAATTCTACTCTGACAACCTAACATAGGGCTGGATAATATTTTAGGTCCAAGAGATTTACCATGTGCTAGTACAGACCATTAGAAATACACATATTCGGCCCACTAAAATATATGGTGGAAAGAAAACTCTGGCTCCTTTCACAGAGCAAAAATGGGAACAAAACTGCTAAATTTTCACAATTGTCAATGGTAAATGCAGCTATTTTTACTTCAAAGATCACAAAAAGGACATCAACGGATTAAATGTAGTTTACAGACCTACATTTACTATAATACGCCAAGATGCAATAAAACAAAAATCTTTTTTTTTTTGTTGGAGAAAAGTGCAGGATGTGGGAAGTTTTGTCCCAAGCAAAATTCTTAGGGCTGGTTATGAATTATTAAAGTCTGATTGCTAAAATCAACTAAGTTGCAACATAACTTTCAATTATGAAAATATGGGCAAGAAAAATATATCCCATATATATAACTGACTTTCAAATAATTGAATAAAAGGTTAATTTCCTCCCAGTTTGTATCAATCTTAGCAAGAATAAACCTATTCTGTAT